TATAGAGAGAGAGAGAGAGAGAGAGAGAAAGAGAGGATTAAATATATTATGTTTTGTAAGAATGATTATATTTTAGACGATCTCTAATTCGTATGAAATCAGACTAATAATAATTTTATGTACCCTATATAACACATAAAAATCAGCATTTAAACAATTACAAATTTCTACCTTAAAATTTGATACAAATTATAGATCGATTAAAATTTTATTGTATAATATAAAAAACACAATAGGAAAACATACCCATATATAATTACAGAGATTTTATTGTGTATATAAGTTTATTTGCACGAATTATTTTTTGTTATAGATACATATAGATATGTGTATAAAAAAAAAGAGGTTGTGCCTGTAAAAGACGCAGGTACCGCGGTGCCCCAATGAGTGCTGCATCGTCACCCTCGCTGGGAAAATAGAATTGGAAACGGAAGACGTCTCTCGTTCAAAGTGTTCGAAAAACTTAATAATATAGTTTCAAAAAACTTAATATATATATATATATATATGTTCTGTTTGCGAGTGAGCACACGTTTCACTCGTGGAAAATGCGAATGCATATCTCGTTATTATGATATCGCAAGCTCTTGATACGAATATAAAAAAGAAATATCGAAATGATTTCGCTAATTAAACTCGTGACATTTTATATGTACTATTCGCAGATGCGAAGAATCGCTCTTGATTTCGGAAAGAGAAGTGCGTATTAACAAATTCAGCTCAATTATGTAATCGCATTGATTTTAAATAACGTGTATGCATTTTTTCTTCCTTCGCGAAATACCGCGATCGACGTCACGGAATTTATGAAGACGAATCATTTTTGAGCCAGCGATCGAGGTTCCGTTCGATTTGCTGTATCTCGCATTCGGTGAATCGCGTGCCTCGCAGTGTCATACGATTACAAGTATTCTAATGCGCATGTAATTGCACGAGCGTGCATGTCCGTAGAATCCTAAAATGATGTAATCTCAGTCCTCGAACCCGCTTACTTCGCGACCAGATTGATAGTCGGATGGAATCCGTTCTCATCCGCGGTGTAGTCGACCCTGCAATTACACGGCGAGGATATCAAAGATTAAGTTAGATACGAACGTTTAAAATATGCAAGACGATTTTACGGGATTTAATTTTTCTGATTCTAAAAGTCACGTTTTACTAGAATTCAAGATTTACAGACGGAATTCACATTATAACTTTATGCCATATGAAATATGATGAAAATCATCAATAAGACTATAAATTATGAAAAATAAATATAATATATATATTTGTATAAAATTTTAAGATATACGAATCTGACGCGAGAGAGTTATGTCTATATAAAAAATCGATTTTAATAATTAAATTTTTGGGGAATTTCAGAATAATTTAAATAGATTTAGATAGATATTTTAAAATATAATTTTTAAATGTAATTTTCCAATAATTCTTAAAAGAATGCTTAGCTTTAAATCTTTTGACACTTGGCATGTAAAATGATAAATTCTAATAATTGCATCAAAAGCTCGCTTTAGATGATTTATGATTCTCGATTTTGAACAGAATTACGTATATAACTTTTCGTGTATAATTTTATGACCGTTTATAAACACCACTTGACGAATCAAAACACAAAATAATATACAGAATATAAAAATAGGATTCTATTTTAAAATCTGATGTAAATTTCTAGGTCATTTAACGACGACGCGGAAGTGATTTCGCATACCTGTACGTGTGTCCATCCGGTGCGATGAAACTGAAGCTACCAACGACACTGAGGGCCTCGTTATCGGTGCCCTCGTTCTTCAATTCGGCCGTCTCCTCCCTCTTCTGGCCGTCGCTCTGCTCATAACTGAAGTGATATCCACCTACCCCTATATTGTTCACCTCCTCCTGCTTCACGATCGTGATATCGTTCGGATTAATTTGCGGCGCCGCGAAAACGGCAGCTACGAGTGCCAGGATGACGAACACCTGCATAACAAAAAGAAGTAAGAAAAATCATTTCATTAAAGGAAAAGATAAGAAAAATCATCTTTCTATGTTTATTATGGTTTAATAATGAGGAATCATTTTGTATTCTTTTATTTTATACATATTTAATATTTAGATTTATTTATCAAAATACAAAAGAGATTAAACATTTTTAGATAAAAATTGCAAAGGGTCACTGCAAATGTTAACATGCGACAGCCACGTCGAAAGGTCGGTCATTTCTCAGAACTTGACCTTTCAGTATTAGATTATTGTATTACGAAATTAAGCCGAAATTGAGATCGCTTGCACGGAACAACAAGCTAACGTCTTCGTACGTACAGAGTGTCGCAGAATACCTCTTCATCTCAGTAATCTAAAAATGATTGCTTACTAATTGGATTATCATTTTGAATGTTTTTCGAGTTAATGACATAACAATAATTTTGCGAAACAGAACAGTAAACAAATATCAACCATTTAAACTAATGTTAAACTCGCTCAACTTGATTTTAATTTAAAAAGTCACTTTAATTAATATTAATTAATTAATATTCAATTTTAAATGTTTAAAGATCATCTTTGAAATCGCAAGGAGACGAAATATATAGAATTTAAATATATGTACACGTTTAAAAATAAATATAATAAAAAAATATAATATAATATTTATAAATATATATTTCTATAGAAATGATATTTCTAAAGAAATACTCCAGATCGATCATCGAAACTGCGGCCATTCCGCGACACCCTGTAGACGCTCTCCCGCGGCTGCGTCTATCACGCCGAAGTCGAGTGTGCGTAATCTCACGCGCGCACAAATGTCACAAATCCTCTTCACTTTCACTGTTGCGCAAAAATTGGGTGGCCGCGTCCGTCGTTTCGGGGGACCCGGCCCCGAAAAGAACCGGCGATAACCCTTACGATTCTCTCTCCCCGCCCTCTGAAAAGCCTGAAAGAGTGATCCGTGATCGCGCCACCGAGTCAATCTCTCTATATATCTCGAGAGATGCGTATCTTTCCCTTGGAAAGCCCCATCGCCACCCACCGTCTTCATCGCGCCAGGTTTTTGAAAATTGTAGTCGAACGATCTGCGAATAGTCCCGAAGACGGTCCTTCGTCCTTAAACAACGACCGTAGATATGTAGATGCACCGAGGATCTCCGATGCATCTGCCTTTATATAGGCGGAAAATCGCGGCACCGCGTTGCACGTAACCCCCCACCTGCACGTGGAACAGCAACAGCCCCCGACGGATCCGCGGATGAGTCTCTCGCGGCAGGATGCATCTGTGACGCGATCGCTGGTGGATGCTTGCAAACGCGCGTCGCTGCGATGATTTATGCAACGTTACTTTTGCTGACCGAGTCACTTTATTTTATGGAATACTTTGCCATAAAGATGTATTAAATTTCAAAAATATTCCAATTCTCGAAGAGAAAGACGAGGATCTCGGAGTAATGTTCTTCTCAAGATGAATAATATTCATCTTAAGAGAAATCATTTCATAATTTGCGATAAATTGTTCCTCTTAATTCTTTATTGTTTAAGAAAGACAAATTTTTAATTAAATTACTTTCTTTATATATAT